ACCACATCAATGACGCCATCATCACCATGAAAACGTTGACCACGTAAGTGGAACTTCAGTTTAGAAAACAGGTAGAAGACCCACGGTGCTAGGTCAGGTGAATAGGAAGATTGGGGTAAGACTTCAAAGCCACATTCGTTTGCTGCTGCCACTGACCACTGTGCTGTGTGGACAGGTGCATTGTCAGCACGTCAACTCGGAGCTTTTCTCCCCTTTTCTCTGTATTGTTGCCCTCAACTGCCGCAATTCTGGTGCACAGTACACTCCATTGATGGTTTGACCTTTTTGCAGGGAGTCAATAATGATTACCCCCTCACTGTCCCAGAAAACAGAGGCAAAAACCTTTTCAACGGGTAAAACTCGCTTGGGGTGCTGGGAACCATTCTTTATCAACTATTTGCTCTGCTGTTTTGATTCGGAGTGAAAGTGGTGAACCCATGTCTCATCTTGGGTGACAAATCGTTTGAGTAAGTTGCTTTGATGGACTGAATTCGTTCCTTGAAATGCCCAGCCTGATTAACTTGTGATGTTCAGAAAACATTCTAGGCACCCATCATGCAGACAGGTTGCTCATCCCCAGGATGTACGACAAAACATTATGAACTATACTACAAGTCAGGCCAAAGAACCTGCTACATGTTGGACAGTTTCACATCTGTCATTCACTACCATGTGATGGATGGCCTCAACTGGATTGTCCATGATGCTGATTTGTGGCATCCTGACATATGTTCATCTTTTGTGCTCTACTTCACGCGCTTAGAGCTAGCAACCCAAGTCTTTGTGGTTAAATAAGAAGTGGAGTCATCACCAAGTGACTTGATCATGTCTTTATGGATTTCCCTAGGAGACATAGCTTTTTATCGATACACTTGATCACAGCACACGCTTCTGGTGCGGCCATTTTGTGATTTGCCCTCACCTACCCCATTTTCACAAGGCGTCACGTGCTAATTAATGAATGTAAAAATTTGCATTTTTGTGGGCAGTGATGTAAGACGTCATAGTATACAGTTATACCAAAGAACTGGAGTTTGACCTTTATTTTCTAGGTGAGGCCGAGAACTTTTGGATCACCCCTCGTATATTTATTTGTGCTAAATTTGTGCTAAATTTGTGTTTTCTTGCTGTGTTACACAAGAGGTTAATGACCCCCACCCACTTCGGGTCGACGACCGCCAGGAGCGCGATTAGTCAGGCTATGTTTAACTCCATGCTGCACAGGTTTGTGCACACGCACGTGCCAAAGTAGTGGGTGCAATTCTGATGCATTCCGCCAGGGGCGCAGCTGCTTGGAAGTCTTGCTGTTCGTGAGGCTGTGGATGGGGGGAGTTCAGTAGCCTGACGTCCTAGACAGGCAAGGTAGACTGGTAAGGTAGCCTGGTAAGGTAGACAGCCCAGGTTTTTCCGTAAACCCTATGGTGACCACCTGTCCACATAGACCAGAATCAGTGGTCTTCTTGGACAGTTTTGACTGTTATCAAAATCATACCTGTAGGACACAGCCCTCTAACTTACTTTAGACTTGTTTAGCTGACACCTTTTCTTGCCGTTTGGTGCAGGTGGCCTGTTGCATGCTGTGAATGGACCCACGGATCCCCCAACCACTCCTGTACAAGGCTTCACCATGAAGTTTGATGATGGACAGATACTCAATACATGGCCTGATAAGGTAATACTGGACTGCATAAAACATCATCATCTCATACAGTGTAATGCATGATCTTAAGAGATCATTTGCATTCCAATGCTGTATGGAGTTTTTATTTCCAGTGTATGACTCCATGTAAAAATGAGGGTTAAACTGGCATTATATAACTTTACCATTAGTAGATAAATGAATGTCCATGTGAGTCTTGTGCTTGTATTCTTGAGTAGCAGCAATGCCGTACAAAAAAGCTCACTTGAATGTCTGCCTCCATGTCCAGGCTTTTAAGCAGCCCCATGACGTGACCTGTGCCGGCCACAGTTCAGACGTGTACGTTGCGGAGATAGGACCAAACAGAGTGTGGAAGCTGGAGGCATCCAAAGGTGAGTAGCAGCAATCACTAGTTATCAAACCAGGATTAAGATGTAAAAAATTTCTTGTTTTCCTTGAACTGTCACAGAGTGAACCTTAGTGGTATCCTGACTAGATATCTTTAAAAAATGCTCAGACTAGAGGTGCAAAGGTTAGGTGTGAGAAGTCAGTCAATGTACTATAACCAGGGAGTAGGGTTAAAGGGATGAAAGAGTCCCAGAGAGTTCAACATGCTGGCCCCCTTTACTGTTTAGGGTGGGGTTTTAAATTGGCTGCTAGTTAGCCTCCTAGACCTACATGTAGTGTGACTAACAGAAACCACAGCCGACCTCCCATTAGGACATCCTTGGAGTGTGATTCGCACCAAGTCACTCCCTGCTGTCTTTAAAGTGTAGAAAATGCATTTTGAATGCACCATTGGATCAAAGGCAACTGGAATTGATCATGTCTAGGGAAAGCAATTATCCAAGGTGGTAAGGAATGAAAGGATCATTGTTTTCAGAATAAAAGTAAAATTCTTAAGGCTGCACCAATGTAATTAGTTGTTCGAAGAGTTCGACTTTACTTAGGACTCACTGGAGACGATAACTTATGCAGTGCTTGTTGATACATTTACAGATCAGCTGAAGAAAGGAAACGTAGGCAGTCCGCAGGCTGAGTTTGAAGCCAACACTTCAGAGAAGACCACCCCAGGTCTAGGTACTGACCACAAGCCTACAAACCTTTACGAATCACTTCTTAAATCGCACAGAATCCTTAAACTTCCCCACGGTAAGGAAAAAATCAGTGATTAAATCAACTAATCAATTATAGCTTGTGCTATCCTCTGTAGTAGGCTCTACTAGTCAGGCTTTTTGGAGGTTTATGTTATATGGACATGGCCCACAATTAGAACTGATATGCCATCAGATTAAAAGCACATCAGAAGCCCACAAAGGGCTGACTCGTAGAGCCTGCTAATAAGGAAGATAATCACAGTATGCAGTTCTGATTTGTGACAGATTTGTGATTTTCATTAATTTTGGATGATTATAATTATTTTTCACCATTATCAAGTTTGTCTTTCATTTAACACTTATCGCTCCATCTTGTTGTGTTACAAGGTTACTTGGATAATTTTTCTAGCCAAGACACCTACCCTGAAGAAATTTGTCTTACTTGAGTAAAGAGACTCTTTTCACACAACCAAGTCTGTCACCTCTCAAGGGCAATTCTGACTGGTTCGCATTGCTTGGTTTTGTAAAAAGAGTCTCTTTACTCAGTGACTTACCAACCTGATGAAACTATTCACGGTTGTCTTCTTCCTTTCTTAACTTCCAAGGAATCTAATGCGATAGCTTGTCTTTTTTTCCTTTCTGTTCAGGAGGAAATTTGAGGGAGGACCTGAGCACCACCCTGATCATCGCCACCGTCCTGGTTGTCCCCCTGGTGATCGTCGTGATTATTGCAGCGGTGGTGCGTTGCCGGGCGAGCGGGAGCCTGCGATTCGACAAGCGCAAGAAGAGCACGCTTAAGTCGTGGATGAACGGGTACAAGGAGAAGCACCAGAACGGCATGTTCACCAACAAGAAGGGCTTCCAGAGGCTGAAGACAGAGGACAGTGATCACGAGGAGGACCCGCTGACAGACTCGGAGGTGGAGGAGTACAACGCCGTCAGGAGTGTATGATAGCTTGGAAGTTCTTAGTAAGATGTTGAACTTTATTCCAACACACAGGTTAAACAGATAGTTAATGACCAATCACTTTAAAACGTACTCTCGGGAGAGTTACAGACACATGACCTTATTCATTATTATTATAAAGTTCAACATCTTACTATGATTACTACCAACACAGATGAAGTTTCTTGATAGCTTGGAAGTTCATAATATTCTAACTTGGTAGAGATCATTCTGAAGCAAAGTTGAACGGTATTCACAATTCACAATTGCAGTCACCTGGGTGCTCTGTCACCACACTGGACAAAGTAAAATATCGGACACAGCTCTAAGCAGTATTTTTGCGACAGTGACAGAAGCTCTTTACATCCGATTCAGGGCCTTACTACCATCCATTAACAAAAGGGGGGGGGGCATCATAAACTTCCTATAATTTATAATTGACTGTGCACTGAGCCATGTGTCCTATCTTCATAGCATGACTTCACGGAAATAGTGGATTGTGCATTCCTTGACAAACACTCAGGAGTTATACAGGATGGGTGTGTCCAATTTTTAAGTTGTTTGGAATTCCAGTTCAACTTTGCTCTAGAATGAGTGTATGATTATTACTGGACCACTAAAGGATGTCATGTTGTAAGACCTTAATGTTTGTATTCTCTCCTTCTTTTTCTTTCATTCCTGTCTTCCTCTAGTCTCCAAGCAGGCTAGTCTTCCTCTGAAAATCAAATTGTTGTATTGAGTTTGTGATGTGCATCTAGGAAATACACGTTTTATGGTACCTCAGGGTTGATGATGTATGTGTATGTAACAATCCAGCAAGTCACTAAGTACATGTCAGCTTGCTCTGGGATGTGATAAACTGTCCACCAACTTCAGTGTTCTAGTTAGCATAGTTTGAGCACATGTGAATGTGATGCCGTTTATGCTGTGATTTAAGCTCCTACTAACACTGTCTTTCTACCAGTGTAGGGGTATTTCTTTCCAGGAGAAACATTCACAAATCTTTTTAAAAATTAACATTTTGGCATCAGATTGTGGAGATGAGGCTTGCCATTGACTGCTAGCGAAACAAGTTGTGCCACAATCATGCTTGTTCTAGGCTGTTAGGAGGCTCATGCATTCAAAAAGTACTGTCAAACCTGTACAAGTGACCACCTCTGCATGAGGACCACCTTGCCAATGTTACCATGTTTTGCTGCTCCAATGTTTGTCATAATTAAAAACAAGGAATAAATATCCTACCTACATGTATAGTGACCACCTGTCCCCTTAGACCAGATTTTCTCTGTCCCGTGTGTGGTCTTCTCAAGCAGTTTTGACTCTACATCGAATGGTACTTGTGGTACTTACATTTGTATAATCTTAACATGATAAAGTGGTGTGTCAAAAAAATAAGGTAGTTCTAGATGATACACATTGAGCATATTTTTGTATTGTGAACAGACTCCTGTTGGGTGAAGCGTCAGGGATACACATGTAGTACTGTGCACAAGTCATGTCTAACCAGGAGAGATTTTCGCTCTAAAGGATAGTTGCATCTTTGGGGTTTGCACATTATTCAAGCTTTACCAGTCTTAGAGAGAATCCTCGTCTGCCTTTAAACTGCAAGACTTTTGTAAATCTGACAAGTGTACTTGATGTCTGTGGGGCATAGAAAATTATATAACATTAGGGTATGCAAGATTTATTTGTACTTAATGACAGTAACGTTACATGTATCAAATGATTTTGTGACTTTATGCATGTATGCTAGGGGCTAGATATATTGTACTTTATGCATGTATGCTATGACAAGTTGGTGATGTTTTGAAGTTTGCTATTTTAACATTCCATACTTAAGTGGTGGTGGACTGTCCTATATAGCACAAGCTTCTTTTATTTGAATCGTTTTGATCATACTGATCTCATCTAATGCAAGGTTGATGGACCTCAACGTGTTTCTGTATATAATGAAAAAAAGTGAAGGGAATATATGGTTATCTGTATAGAATATATGGAAGCTTAGGTGGTAGATAGAAATTGGTGTAGCTAAAAAGTTATGCTTTGTTAGTCTGGGTGTAATCATGGAAAAATGCAGTTCAAATTATTTAGACAGAGCCAGAGAAAGATTAAAGTTTTGAAGGTGGAACACATTTTTGTTCTTTCGTTTAAGAGATATGTTTAAAAAATGTCTTTGATTCTAATAGCTTATACAGTATTTTGAAATTCATCTGAAATATAATTTGTTACTTGAATGTACAAAACTGTATGATTGTGTACTGTTCAATGCAAACGTGTATTTATAAATGCTTAATATGATGTTTTAGAGAAATGTTTACTGCTCCCCTCGTAAAACCCTGAAAATTTTTTTGCTTGGGGTGCCAGAATATAATATTAATGAAATTGGTTATTACAGCTCCAATGCATATGTTCCATTTTTCATGTTACTGGGTATGTATTGATACCATAATAATTATATAAAGTGATGGTATGCTGGCATTTGGTGTGTAACATTATTGTTTGGTGAAAATGTTTCTGCCAAGCTAAAGGTAACGATAGATGTGGAAAACAGGTGTCAGCTGTACAGAGATGGAAACAGGCAAGAGGAATGTTGCATAAAAGATTAAGTCATAATTTTGCACACTGTACACAGTATAGTATATTACAGACCACTGTATGATTATGTATTTTCCATTGTCATCACATAAAATGGTTGTACATGTGGGATTATATTGGGTGATGGAGGTCTATATATAAATCTGTCTGTTGCATTTGCATAGAGTACATGTATGTCGAGTTTAGGTAACTGTAAGTTACTTAATAAACTCAGTATGTTGCTCTATCTGGTCAATTAAACTGGACTTGAAGTACAATCTAAATCATGACTTGCTTCATTTTTCACCCTTATCAAAATCAGCTGCATGCAAAGCTTTTTGAAGCATTTTGAATTAAAATTAGGATGTACAAATGTATAATTATATATAATTTTGAAATCTGAAAGGCAGAGTACGAATGCTCTGACGCAATACTTGTTGACTAGAAAACAAGAAAACAAAAAGATTGGGTACGTACTAGTAGTACATGTATGTAAAAATCATTCAACTGAGACTTTGTTCTACAGGTGAAGGTTTTCCTCATGATTGTGTGAAAGTTGTCTAACCACCACAAGTGTACATACATTGTACATGTAGGAGAATCTGGAATCCTCCTAGAAGAGATTGGAATTCAGATATTCAGATCCCAGTTTTGTAGAAGAAAAACTTGAAGTCCAGTCTCCCCGAGGGGAGATAGGAATTCCAATCTCCCCTAGAAGGATTCCAGATTCTCCTAGGAGAGGTAGGGATTCCAATCTTCTCTATATATATAGGAATTCCAATCTCCCCTAGGAGGATTCCAGATGCCCCTGGATTCCAATCTCCCCTGTGACATATAATACATTTCACAAGCTAACCTAAGCTGAAGACCTTGGTTGCATTCTCTGTTGTTGCTTGTGCTACCACTTCAGATGCTACACCCATACATGCAACAACAGCTGCAGTCACAGCCACCGAGCATGGCTCATTCCTCTTATAACTACAGTGTTGGAAATTCTCCTGGTTGAAAGTCTTAAAGCTTGTGATGGTTTCCTGAGTCTCCTTGGGTAGTTTTCTGATGTTAGGGTACATGTACGGGGCGTCGGACTCTACCATCAGCCTGTCCAGGGGTATCAGCTGCTGCTGTAACATCCACTGTACACCGTTCGGCCTCTTGTCTTTGCACAAAAATCCTACAGGAAAAAAATTATGTATGCTAGGAAACTCAGATTTGATCACTGTGTGGTCACTAGCCTCTACCAGGCTTCAGAGGTGGCTGGAAACAGTAGAAATTCACCAAATAGACAGATAACATGCCAGAGGAGTCAGTGTGCTAAACAGGGTACAGTTTGCCAAACTTCCCTTGGTCTATGTGGCTAATTTCTTCATTTTCCAGAAGCCTGTGAAGCCTGGTAGAGGCAAGTGGACAGTTTTCAGACAGTGTGACAATGCGTACCTGTGTATGTAGATGTAGAAGCGGTGCCAGTGAAGCTTACATTGTATTTGTCATGATTAAGAATATCCAGTCCATAGTGACCACCTGTCCACAAAGACTAGGTTGTATTGGCTCCTGTGTGGTCAATAGCCTCTACCAGGCTTCAGAGGTGGCTGGAAAGAATATAAATTCACCAAATAGACAGATAACATGCCAGGGGAGTCAGTCCACTAAATAGGATACAGGGTACTCCCCTTGGTCTGTTTGGCCAATTTCTTCATTTTCCAGTCACTTCTTAAGCCATGCAGGTGATCGAAGCCTGGTAGAGGCAAGTGGACACTCTTCCTGGCTAGTTTTCAGACAGAAATAACGATGCGTACCTGTGAGTCCGATGTAGAAGCCCATGTCCAGGTACGCCCGAGCCTCCTCAGCAGTGCCAGTGAAGCAGTGGATGACCACGGCAGGCAGGTGGGCCCGATGCCGGCTCAGGATCTCCACCAGGGCCTGGTGGGCCTCCCGCTCGTGGAGGAACAGGGGCTTCCGCAGTCGGCAGGCTAGCTCTACCTGTTGAGTAACAACATTTAATAAATGGTTTATTGGTCAAACATTAATACCCATGCAATTGCAGCCCTCTACAGCACTGAATTAATATTGATGCAGGGTTTACAATCGGGTTACAATCACATAAGGATCAATTAATAATCACAAACAATCACATGATACATATAACATACTTGCTCGACACACTTTTTGTGGAACTGTGACCTCAATACGACTTTCCCCAACCAAAGTCAGGTACCCATTCACACCTGGGTGGAGTGAGGAAAGTCATGTAAAGCCTTTCCCAAGGGCATAACGTCGGGGTGCGTGTCCAGACATGTCTTGGGTACAACTCAGGATCAAATCCTGATCTCACCATGTCATAGTCTGATGCTCTACCACTACGCCATCTGACACCACTCCACTGTTGTTCTTGTGGTTAGGGATGTATACACCTATAGCATCTAAAGTGTTCTGTGTTTGAATCCCTAGTAGGCCCCAATATGTTGGTTGTGCCCTTAGGAAAAGCATGTAACACCTGTTAACTCACTCCACTCAGGTGAAAATGAGTAGGTACTATTAGGTATTTAGCCTGGGTGCCATCCTCTGCAGTTTCCGCCGACTGCCTAATGTCGCTGGCTTCCACGGTGACCATGGTAGTCAGGATGTGCAGGATGGCACCCATGCCAGGCTAATTAGGGATGTCCTCTTGGATAAGTTGTAGGTCCCATGAGGAGAGCCAAACCCTGAGAATGTTTAAAGATCCCACCACACAAGAAAAGAGTATATATAGGGGTGAGTCGATTAATTTAAGAAGGTTTTTTAAAATCAGATTTGATGTTAAACCAACCTCACTACAACTTTACAATCCAGTCTCATTTCTCTCATAATATGCATCTTGTACTTACTGTACAAAACTGGTTATTTTCTGCCTAAAGGCAGTGTGTTGTTAGCCAGGGTACCATCCCGGTTAGTTTACGTCCGCTCCCACAGTCACAGCGACAGTGGGAGGGGACATAAACTAACCAGGATGGTACCCAGGCTAGTGTCTTGTTTATGCAAAACCAACTGAAACAAACACACAAACATTACGTACTTGTCTTTCCAACACTTGCTTCTATTGGTCCTGTGGAGAGAAGTTCCTGTTGAAGTCCAGTCCTATGCAGCTTGTACTTACTGTACAAATTTTATGCCCAAAGCCAGTATCTTGTTTATGCAAAACCAATTAAAATAAACACACAAACAAACATCACATACTTGTCTTTCCAAGACTTGCTTCTGTTGGTCCTGTGGAGAGAAGTTCCTGTTGAAGTCCAGCCCACACTCCCCCACAGCCACACACTCTGGACGGGAGGCCAGCCTCTCCAGTTCCTGCAGGCTGTCGTCGGTCCACGTCTTCGCATCGTGTGGATGCACACCTGCGCAGGATAATGGAAAGTTTTATGGGGGCCCGCATGCCCTTTTAAGTGAAGCGTAATCGGCCGTTTTAATTCTACGTACAGCGTAGACGGACCGCTCTAATTCAAGGTAGAGCGTAATTGGCACATTTTGTGTAGAGCGTATTCACCATTTTAATTCTACGTAATGCGTTGTAGCCACTTGGAATTTAGCGTAAAGCGTAATCAAGTCGTTTCCTGAATTCAGCATAATACGTAGCCAGCTCTCAAAATTTTGCGTAGAGCGTTGCTGGGACCCCCCTTTGCAGGCTCCCTTTTATTGCAATTCTTACCTGGAGGCTAATTGCAGCAGAGGGGACTTATACGACCATATACTCCTGTCTGACCACCTTTCTAGTTTTATTTTCATGTCAAACATGACAGACAGGTGTTAAACATAAAAAATAAGACTAGAAAGGCGGTCAGACAGGAGTTTAAATCCCTCCTGCTATAAAATTGCAACATGATGCAACCCAACACTAGTTACCATGGTGACAGATGCCTGGTTCAGGTCATTGACCTTCTTGGTTTGGAGAAGAAGAGGAAACAGAGTAAAAGCAGCATGTTTTCAGTCTACACTGTTAGTATATGCATAAATTAATCATTGGAATATTGACTTAAACATAGGAAGCACTCTAACATCCGTGTACATAATACAGAACTTAAAACTTTTTAACAGTTGTCAATTTTTTGGTTGACAAAAAAAATGTTATATGAGAAATCAAATTGATAATCATTGCATCGTTCGCCTCATTCAGACCACAGTTAATTTTTGTTTTGCTATTTAGTTTTTAAAAATGATTCTATAGAACATGAGTGTCACTGTCACCTGCAGTACTGAATAACGCGCCAGGGTGCGCTTGTGCGAGCTTCAGTGCCTCACGACTAGCTCGCAGAGACGTTCCTGTCACCATGATCTTGTGAACACCCGCGTCTCTCGCCCTCTGGAGGACGGCTGGTAGGTCTCGCTGGAAGCAGCGGTTCGTGAGGTTGGCACCGATGTCAACCAAGGCCGGCAGCATCGTTCGCACGTAAGCTATATCCGTGTTAAAGTTGAATGACGATATGTAAACTGGCAGCACTACAGATAATACTACACTGTGCCCTGTATCACATCAAAATATTCGATGCAGGAGCTTTCAGCATGCATTTATGCACTGACCTACTAAAAGAGTAGTGATCTGCTGGCTACTGTTACTTTAATATTTGCCCACTATTTACATCGCGTTGCCTGACGACCCAAGTTGCACAACTGATCGAAATGACTGTCTGTAGTGTTGCAAAACGTCGTGCAATCATTAACCGCAACAAAACGTATGCAATAAATAAAGTAACCCGGTATTAAATCTAATGTTATGTGAGTACCACAGCCAAGATGATAGTACTAGCGCACAGAAAAAAATAGCGCACAGAAAAAAATTGACATAACAAAAAACGTTTACCTTGTAAATCTCTCGAGTACCTTGACTGCATACTAAAAATTTAACCACATGGTACTCGGTAGTTTGGATGCGGTGTCAACCCGGAAGTAAGATAGTGGAGTCGAGTGCGTAACGTTGCGTTGCGTTGGTCGAAATATCTGTTGTACACTTTAATTAATACAAATAAAGGGAAGAGTACAGTAGCAGCTGTTTTTTCGTCAGTATACCGAGTTGAAAGCTACTCGGAGCTGGTAAGTACACCAGGGAGGTAATTATCTATTTGATAGAGCTGATGCTAATGTTGTAATGTTATTCTGTGGCGTGCATGTTTATATGTGAGGTCACCCCATGTGCAAACAGACATCGCAACAACTATTGCCATTGGGTTGGGCTACCGGCGTGGAATATTGAAGTACAATAAGAAAAATCGGAAATTGAACAGGTTTGATCCCATAAACGCTCTAGTATATTTCACTTCATATTTCATATTTACACCGCGGTCCAAACTTTCAGAATATAAGATAAAATGTTCACTTCCTTATTCTTTCCCATTATACTTTTATAGGCAGTTAAGTTGCTGGTCACACTGTGTCCCGTAATAACTATCCTGACTTATGCGACCAGAACTGACCTTTGATTCAGGTAAGTGCAGGTGCCAATATTTCCTGATACAGCATCGATATCGTTTGATACAATATTGTGAATATAGACAGAAAGGCAAAGAAAACTGGTGCATCAGAGGCTATTGACAGTTTTTTTCAATGTTAACTGAATGTCCTTTCAATGTTCATTGCCACGAATTTTCATTGTCACCTGCGGGAATGCAGAAATAATTTAGCCCAAATGTGGTTATAATCAGCAATCCAGCCTCTAGACGAAAAGGTTGTGCATTCAAGTCCCAGCTGTTGTCTTTCACCTGACATGCAGAAAGGATTGCAGTCTTTAGGATGTCCTCCATTGATTGTACTTCAACAGTTGTCTCTAGTACTGACGAGAGCTAGGGGAATTTCCTGAGCACGTTGCACATGTCATGTAACTACAACTGTACATACATGTTACAGTAGTGTCTGTCTTTTCTCTCACAACCAGTGGAAGAGTGTCAGTTCCTCAATGAGGTAAACTGGTTCAAGATCACTTTTCCCTTTTTTCTATCCCGATTCCAGGCAGCTGGCAGGGGTTCTTCACAGATGACCGAGATTATCCAGGTCGTCCTGCTGGAATGCAGTGGAAACTAGACGTCCATCTGGCCTTCATGAACCACAGTAGCGACGACAAGAATTTCTTTGGTTTTGGTACAGATGACATCGGGGTGTTTGAGTTCACAGATGGGAGAGTAAGAGGTGAATGTTTGGGGACAACCCTATGTTCCATTAACCCTATGTTCCAACAACCCTATCTATAGTATCTGTGAGTAGTTTCATCAGGTTGGTAAGAAGACACTGAGTAAAGAGACTCTATAGCAGCGATACCTGTGCTCCAATGCAATGTGAACCAGTCAGAATTACCCCGAGGAAGGTGACAGACAGTCACCGAAACGTCGACTTGGTGGTGTTAAAAGAGTCTCTTTACTCAACCCTATAGTATGTTCCAACAATTCTATGTTCTCACACCTTTCAGAACATACTGGTGTAAAATTAATGTAATAAAGAAATAAAATGTTTGTAGGTTTAGAGAAAATATACAGTACTAGTTGATATTTTATGTGTCAAGTTTATTTACTTTCTGAATTAAAATTAATCAGTATGTACAGTTGTATAACATACCACCACACCAGTCAATATGCTAGAGAACTTTATTGCCAGTAATGAGGAGCAAAAATCACATTAATCGAGTCTCTGAATAGGCTCCAAAGGAAAGGATATCTGGTCCTTTAAATTACAGTAGTAGCTGTTTTTATGTTTACCGAAGGAAAACATATTGTTTTTGCTCACTTTCCTCTTCTTCTCCAAACAGTGACCTCTGACCTGGCCACCTCTGACCTGACCGTGGCCTGATTTGTTGATGTCTGTCACCATTGTAACTGGTGTTGGGTTACATAATGTTGCAATTTTATAGCAGGAGACTACTGTCTGACCAGGAGACTGCTGTCACCATATACATGAATGTGTTTGAGTAAGAATTAACAGAGCAGACCATATGCGAAGGTTAATATTATGCATTTGCTTTGCAAATGTTACTTTCTAGTTTTCATATAATTTTGTATCTTTGCAGCTGGAGCAGTGTCTTTCCTAAAGCAGTACTCTACACACACAGTCACGTACTACGGAGAACAGAGAGGACACATGATGTCGGGCAGGTGGTTCTTAACAGACTTTCCAGAGGTCCAGGGAGGATGGTCACTTTGGCCTTACATCCAGAAGTGACATGAAGCCATTTTTCATGTGTGTCTCATATCTATCTGCATCTTGATAGCAACTTAAATACTTTTGACAAGCCATTAAGTTGAACAAGGCATAGAGTTACAGGGAATTGTTCTTGTCTTACTTTTTGTTTCCTACGGACTGTTTCCTAGTTCCTCAACCAACTGGATATGATTTTGGAAACGGTCAAACGTTTCAGGAGGCATCCACTACCTTTCGTTAGTGACACTAAGAGACCAGAGAAGAAATGCAGGTTATTGTAAGCTCAATAGTTCGTGCTTATAAACCTGCATTTCTCCTCTGTCTTGCACAATATGTTATCATATGAAATTGCAGGAGCAATTGGTAGTACAGCATCATGTTACTTCCTGACCCAATGTTGTTGTGGTTGTTCTTGTGGGGTAGTTTTAGGATTAAATAGATGTAGTTAAACAGTTTTTCTTTATTGTGACTTATAGAAGTTAGAATCAAGGTTCACAAATGAAATACTTTACAGTTACGTCTGAAGAATTGTAAATGCATCTCCTTTTTTTTCTAAAGATCTCTTTTATATCATCTGTTGACAATCATTTATACCTCAACTTATTACATGTACATATTTCTCCTTGGTATACCATGATTATGGGGTGTATAAAAAAGCTTTGCT